GGCGGTCAAGAACCAAACCCTGCACACTGACTAAAACAAGCAGAAAAATTAGGCTTTCAATCTGCAAGTTGGGAAACTCAAGGCTAAGGGAGCAATGAGTTATAAGTTGCTCCCAGGTAAAGTGATTTTTATGGGATAAATAAGAAAGTTATTGGCTGATTGGCTGCCTAATGGTCTTCTTTTCTATTTGGATCAGGGCAGCTGAGTCAGGGGAACAAGGAAGTCCAGAGATGGTGTGAACAGACTTGGTATTTGGGGACTGGCTGGTGTCCTCTGCTGATTTCTGAAAATAGCTGTAAATTTCTGTAAGGTCAAGTTATGTTTCCTTTATGTGCCTGTGTTGACTATCTCCATTTTGGCCCTGAGGTAAGTGAGTCCATTTTAGTTTGGTTCTAGAAAGGTAGCACTTGGAGGCCCCATACATAAGAAGGTATAATCCAATAGTCTCCCTCAGACACCTCCCCATTCTACACTCTGAGAATTGTCTTCCCTGGAGCCAGTTGGGGAGAGTCTTGCATCAATGTTGGGGAAACCAGAAGTTACAGGCTTTGATTTCTCAGGCAAACTTCATTTATCGACATGTAAATTTAAGTTGTCTTTAATAAAAAGCCTCCTGAAATCCAAATGGGCCAGTCATTCATTTTCTTGGGAAAGGTAAGAGTAAGGAGATTAATCAATATGCAGTTAGGTCCAGGTATAAACACAGATCCAGGTTGGCGAAAGGTCTTTGAAGATTAAACAAGTTTAATTGTGAATATTCCATTATCTTCATAATAAAATTCTTTCTTTGTTTACTGATAGTTAATGAAAAGCCATACAAATAATACAGGTTAGCCATTTAAACAAGTAAACCATGTTTATACAAGAAATTGTGTTGTTCCCTTAAGTCATAACATTTTTGTTTAGAAAATTGAATTTGCTCGCTAAAGTTGTAAAATGAATTAATTTAACCCAGCACTCTGCACATTGTGTGGATTCCCCGGTTTACTCCTCTCTGGCAGGTATCTAGAGAAGCATCCTGGTGTAAAACAATGTATTATACCTAATTCTGCTATTTTTATATTTTTAAGATTCTTACACCTTGATTATTGCTTTTAAATTGGGGTCTGTGTCAATATTGTATTTCATTCTTCTGACCCTTTCCTTTGTACAAACAGGCTTCCACAATGAGTGGCTACCATGTAAAAAAGAACAGCTTATTTCCTGGGGTAACATTTTACAGTTTACACTGTTTGTCTCATTTGCTCATCAGAATATCTTGTGTGGTGGGTTTCCCTCCCATTTGGCAGATGAAAACAACTGATGCTCTGAGAGGTTATGTGACTTGTTGAAGACAACCAGCAAGTTAAGGGATAATGTTGGGGTGCAAAGCCAGGATTTCAACACCAAATCATGTGTGCTGGAAGGATGTCATGTTTGGGGACAGCTTCACCTCTCCATTTGCTGATGTGGTCAATACAAGATGTTGAAAGCTTTGAATTTCTGACCACATTTTTGTTAGGGCAGAGGCATGTGCCCCCGGCAGCGTGGCTTAGGAAGTCACATTTTAACTCTCTGATCTACATTTCTCAAAAACATTTTCTTCTTGGAGGGAGACACGTGGGCCATTACCTGGTTAACATTCGCACACTGCTGCAGGAATTTCATTAGCTTGAAAGGAACATGATTATAGCAGTCACACTTGAAAACAGAAGGTGGGGCATTAATTATTAACAAGAGATCACCCAAAAGATACAGTACAGAATTATTAGTGGAGCTGTTGGGACTGTCAGGACAGAATGAATAGAGCTCATGAACCATCTTGGGAGCATAAAAGGCACTGCTCCTGCCCTGAGCATTCATGACACCCCTACAGGAGCCCAGTGGGAAAGAACAACCTTATATTCTCATTCAGTTATGATTCTCAGACTTATTTTAATGTATTGAGCCATTCCAAAACCCATGAGGTGGCAGATTCATGCTTGGTCAGGGCACGAGCATTTACTTGCAATCCAATACATTCCACCCATCTTTGTTAAATACCCATGCTGGGTAAGGTTCAAAGCTATACTCTTGGGGTTCTGGTGAGGAGCAGGATACAGGGCTGCTCTTAATACTACAATCATTCATTGGGGAGAACCAAGATAATACTCAAATCCCCATACTACAAGCCAGAATGGATCTCTCTGAAGACCTGGGCAGCTCCAAGAAGAGAAGAAACAATATCTGAAGAGCATATTGGAGGTCAGGAGCAAAATTAACACTTCCTGAGCACCCTCTATGTGCCAAGTACTGTGCCAAGTGCGCAGGGTTATCTAATTGAATTTCTGTAGCACGGCAAATCTATGATTTGGGCTATTATACCCATTTCACAGATCAGCAAACTGAGGCTTGGTGGGCTAACTTACCCAGAGTCACACTGGTAAGTGGCAGAGCCAGATTTATACCTGGGGGCCCCCAGCTATAAAATAAGAAGAAAACCCATTCAAACCTGGCTCGCGCTGCCCCTTCTTTCATCTTCCACATCCTTCTCTCTCCTGGAACACACCTCACTCCCTCATCTGTGTTACATGGCCCTGTCTCTGGAGAGCTAAGACAGAAAACTGAGTTCCTGGTTCTAAAAATGACATCAAGATCCCTCTGTAGCATTTATGACCTTCTTGTGTTTTCCATTTTTAAAATGAACATAGTCAATCCAGCGTATGACCTGAATGCCAAGTTCAGTGGTAATGTCAGAATTTCTACAGAAGCTCCGGAGCAATCTGGTTGGAGAGAAGGTAAGAGGGACTGAGAGTTTTCTCGAAACCTTTTATAAGAGTGCTGTGACTTCTCATGTAACTAGGCTTGATCACCAACAACGTGGCATAATAGCTAATAGGTAATTAATAAAAATATATAGTGAGTTCACAAATTAAATTAATAAAAACATATACTTAGTGCATAAAAAAGCAAAAGTTAACTGAGTTAAACAGGAGCTGGGGAGTTTTTCTTTTTAATTTTTATTTTTTTACATTTCTAACCATCTATCGATTATTCCATAAAAGGCAGTACCGCATGGTGGTTGAATGTTGGCTCCAAAAGTCAGACCATATGGGTTTGAATTCTGGCTCCATTCTTTATTGGGTCATCTTGGGCAAGTTGCTTAATTCCCTTGTACCTTAGTTTTCTATCTATAAAATTAGGATAAAATATCTATAAAATTAGGACAGTACCTGTCTCATAGGGTTGTTGTATTAAATAATACTTGCACAGCACTTAGCGCTCAATAAATTATAAACATTCCCAATGAGTGTTACCTCGTATTATTCCATACATTACCATCAGCCTGAGGTTTTTCAACATGTGCTTTATAGATTTTTTCTCTTTATTATTTCTTGTTTGGAATGATCTTGGAGGCAATGACTGTTGAATATTATAAGAAGCTGAAGATACCCCTCCAATCCACCTTCTTGGTATCTTGACCAACTTTAAATAGGTCTTAACCAAGAGAAAAGGCATCAGCGGCGAATAGCAAAGTATCAATAGCAGATTAAAAAAATACTTAATCATTATTCTTCTAAGCCTCAGAAATTAAAATAAAATAAAAAATAGAAGATATGACAGTGTTAAACTTAAGGGAAAAGTTGAGAAGTAAGCACTGAATCAACATTAGACTTTGAATGCTTTAAATAAAGCTATGTACCCTCTCATCACGTTTGCATGGGGAGAAACTGACATACGTGAAAACAATTTAGCTTTACTTTGGATATAGTCCTACAATTCTGCAGTATTCTTTTTGCCGTCAATTGCTCTCCCAACATCCCCTTTTCTATTGCAACCACAAGAGGCAAGTAGAAGCATCGGAAGAGTCAGAAGAGGGGGAATCAGCGCTCCTGCACGGTGCTCACGTGGATGCATTTCCCTTCAGCGCTGTGTTTACAGAATTTTATTTGCATAGAAGTACTGCAGGAGCTCTGGATGGTAGTAGCTCTGGAAGAAATTAGCAAAGGTACACATGAGGGAGGGAGTTAACAAACCTCGACTGCAGAGTGAGTAAGCAGTTGTCCAATGTAGAGCATTCTCCAGTTGGGGGCATCATCGCCTGTGTCCAGCAAATGGTCTGGACTGGAACTGCCAATGTATTTTGTGCATAATCTTCCAGGCGTTTTGTCACTTACATTACATCATGGGTCAATTACCACTGAAATTTGAGTCCTTTGTGGGGGCCGACTCCCTGGGGTGCCCGGCCACCCTCTGCATTAGCACCAGGCGTGCAGGGACCTCTGGGGGGATTCTCTCCCTCCCTCGTTCACTCACCAGCTGCCGGCAGAGCTTGGGGTTCCTTTGGTCTTCTTGGTTCTGGAAGCTGCGTTCCTTCCTTTGTCTCAGATAGGGAGAACAGGCTCGAAGCGCGGTTTTGCAAGCCTGAGAAAAATAACATTACCATCTTATTGTCAAAAATATTAGAAAATTCTTTTTTTTTTTTTCTTCAATTACAGCTTACATTCAACATTGTTTTGTATTAGTTTCAGGTGTACAGCATAGTGATTAGAAAATTGTGTATTTTTACCAGAGGATTCTATAATCCCAACCAAGGAAGAATATTACACCCAAGCTGTGGTCTGGGGAGCCATGGAGAGTGTGAAAGTCACGTCCAGGAAGCCTGAAAACTTGAACCTTAAAGGATTTATGCTTATAAAGCAAATTTGTCTATAATTTGGGGCAAATGAGAAGGACATAGCTTTATAATTTACCACAGCCTTTGTTTCTGTCCCATCAAAAGTGGTATTGGGTTCCTAAATCTAACCTCTCTAACCCCTCTAACCTCTCCAGCCTCCCTCCCACCCTCTCTCTCTCTCAGTCTCAAAGAAGACGAGTGGTTTGGTGGAACCCTTTGCTCCCAGTGGCTTTGAAACACTCACCCAGTCCCACTCCAAAGCAGCCCTGTGGCTGATCCAACCCTGTTAGGACACATTTTCTCCAAGAATAAAACAAAAGCTCCATAGGGAATTGAGAAGCCAGGGGTAGGAAATCTATACTAGGTGCAATGACAAAAGCTAACAGGCATGAATAAATATCTTCAGGGCCTCTCCCCCCGACCCCCCATTAACCTGAACTCACCTAGCATTGACTTGCGCTGGGGTTGGGCAGGTGGGGCAGGAGCCAATGGAAAATAGCACTCCTGCTCAGAGAGAGATTACACATTGAGGAGGTGCTTTTTCCAGGATTCACATGGATTTCTGCAAAGAGTTTATAAATGAACTGGCAGGAGCTCAGAGTCTGGCACCTCAACTCAACAGGGCTGCATCAGGACTCCCTTTATAAACGGCCTAGAGATTTCTGGGGTTGGTTAGAGAGTCTCGGACTTACCTTGGCAACCTGGGGATTTCTGTCTTGTAAATGGATCAGGAGGGAATCTTGACTCTGCTTAACTTGATTGGTGAAAAATTTCTTCCATTTCCGCCCTGCAAAGGCAGGCAATTGTCCAAACAAGACAAAGGCTGAGTATCTCAGGCTGTCATTCTCCTGTGGGTTCCCGTGAACAAAACAAAACCCAGGTTAATATGAAAAGGCAACTGCATCATAGAAACTCACAGCATGTTATAGGGTAGGCCCTCAGATCCAGTCCACAGCACTTAGCTGGCTGGGGTAGGGGATGCGGTGGAGAGGGGCTGAATCTTCAATGAACCTCTTTGCCAGCAGACAAGAGGACTAGACTTGGGGATCACTAGTGCTTCTCCCAGCTTCCCAGTTTTTTTCTTCAGTACTTACTGTTTTGGAGATAAAAATGCATGTATATGGCTCAAAAGTCAAAATAACTAAAAAGGTTTATTTAGAAAAGTATGTCTCTGTCTTACCCCTTTCCACCTGCCATGAAATTTCCCTCCCCACAAGCTAACAAAGTTATCTATTTGTGTGTATCCTTCCAGAAAATTAAGAAGAAAAACACACATATTACATAGCCCTTTGCCACATTTTTATATAAATGGAAGCATACCATACTGCTGTTCCACACCTTGGTTTTTTCATCAAACAATATATCTGGGAGCTCTTTCTAGGTCAATACATAAAAGATTTTTTCTTTTTTGGCTGCATCATAATTCATCCCTGTTCCCTATTTATTACTCCCAGCATTTTTGCCAGGTCATCTCTCTTTATCTTCAGTCTGAGTTTCTCCCATCTGTGGTAAAAATAGCACTTATGTTTATTCCCTGACATCCGTCCAACTCTCCTGCTTTTAGTCTGACCGGCTGGTTTGTTCCTGAGTGCACGTCAGTGGGTTCAGCCCGTTCTTCCCCTCCAAGGTGAGCTGTCTGGTCCAAGTATCTGCCTTCTCAGGCCAGGAGATCGAGGGCCAGGGTAACATCGTCAGGTAACAGAACCAGGGAAGTAGCCAAGTCTGCTGATTCTTGATGCAGGGATTTTTATATTAGTGTTTCATGGTTCTGTCCAGCTCCAGGTGAACCAGAGAGAACAGGGCTGGGTTGGGGCTCCTAGGGCGAAAGGAGCACCCAGGACTGGGGGGTGGGGCACAGAGACTTGGCAAGACTGAAAACCACTGATCATTTGGTGAAGCATTTAAAAATACTGATTAGCACATGTGACACATACAGAAATTGCTTGTGTTGCCTTTCCTTCATTGCTGTGTGTGTGTGTGTGTGTGTGTGTGTGTGTGTGTGTGACCACAGCAGGCTAACAGGTTAGTTTAAAAGGAAGGTATCTCAGAGTCCTCACAGTTTCATCAGTGCACTTTTTGCTTAGCCTGTCTTGTCACCTGGCTGTGAAGAGTAAGGCCCTGTAGTCAGAGAGCCTGGTTTCCCCCCATATCCACTTACTCGCTCTGTGAACATTGCACAAGTTTCCTAACCTGTCTGTGCCTTGGTTTCCTCATCTACAAAGTGAAGATAATAATAATGTCCACCCCATGGGGTTATTGTGAAGATGATGTGGTTTAATCCATGTAAATTGCCTACCACCATGCCTGGCACTCAGCAAGGGCTCACTGGATGCTGTTGGTATTGTTACATTTATACAAGAGCACTGAATACATACTGGCATTGTCACCATCATCATGATCACCATCGGTGTACATATATGCACTTCTCTATTACAATGATAACTTGAGGGGTCATGTTGGGACCCCATTCCTCTTTATGTCTTCCCTAACACTCAGCGCAGTAATAGTTTCTTAATAAGATTCATTTGCTATCATCCTATTCATTTATTTTTGCCTTTACTTCCTTTGCCTTTGGGGTCAAATTCATAAAATCTTCTCTAAGATGAAGGCCCACAAGTTTAGTACCTATATTTTCTTCTATGTAATTTATTGTTTCAGATCTTATATTTAGATCTTTGATCCATTTTGAATTAATTTTTGTACAGGGGAAAAAACTGTAGTCTAGTTTCATTCTTTTGCATGTGGCTTTTCAATTTTCCCAGCACCATTTATTGAAGAGGTTTTTCTCCATTTCATGTTTTTGGCTCCTTTGTCAAAAATTACTTGCCCACATACACGTGGTTTTATTTCTGGTCTCCCAATTCTGTTTCATTAGTCTGTGTGTCTGTATTTCTGCCAATACCATTTTGTTTTGATTATCGGTGCTCTACAGTATAATTTGAAGTCAGGTAGTGTGATACCTCTGGCTTCGTTCTTTTTTCTCAGGATTGCTTTGGCTATTTGGGGTCTTTTGTGGTTCCATATAAATCTGGTGATTTTTGTTCTATTTCTTTTAAAAATGTTACTGGGATTTTGATGGGGATTGCATTACATCTGTCTATTGCTTTGGGAAATATGGACACTTTAACTATGCTAATTCTTCCACTCCATGAACACAGGGCTTCTGCACAGCAAAAAAAGCCACCAACAAAACAAAAAGGCAACCAATCCAATGGGAGAAGATATTTACAAACACCCGCTCCTACAAGGGGTTAATATCCAATATATATAAAGAGCTCATACACTCAACACCAAACAAACAATCTAATTAAAAAATGGGCAGAGGACCTAACAGACACTTCTCCCAAGAAGACATACAAATGGCCAACAGTTATATGAAAAGATGCTCAACTTCACTAGCTATTAGGGAAATACAAATCAAAACTACAATGAGATAACACCTCACACCTGTTAGACTGGCTCTTATCAACAAGACAAGTAATAACAAGCGTTGTGGAGAAAAGGGAACCCTCATTCACTGTGGTGGGAATGGACACTGGTACAGCCACAGAATGGGGGCTCCTCAAAAAATGAAGAATAGAGCTACCATATGACCCAGCAATCCCTCTTCTGGGTATCTACCTGAAAATTTTGAAAACATTTATTCACAAAGATATATGCACCCCTATGTTCACTGCAGCATTATTCATGGTCCAAGACATGGAAACAACCAGTGTTCTTCGATAGGTGACTGGATAAAGAAGATGTTCATACATACAATGGAATACTAGGAAAAGGTGAAATATTGCCATTTGTGATAACATGGGTGGACCTTGAGAATATAATGCTAAGTGAAATAGATCAGTCAGAAAAAGCTAACAACCATATGATTTCACTCATATGTGGGATATAAAACTGAAACTCACAGACACAGAAAACAATGCAGTGGTTACCAGAGGGGAGGGGGCAGGGGTAGTAAAAGGTAAAGGGAGCCAAATACATGGTGAAGATTATTTGACTTTGTATGGTGCGCATACAATGCAATGTACAGTTCATGTATCACAGAAATGTACACTTGAAGCCTATATAATCTTATTAACCAATGTCGCTCTAAGAAATTTAATTTTAAAAATATTTGTTAATAAATAAGTGAATAATAAAGATCTTGTTCCCTGAGCAACACATCACCCAGGCCTCACATTTCTAACCACACTTTGATTTTCATAACCTGTAATTTTTCCAAGTTGTCTTGCTTACATCATCTAGTAGAGTCCTGGTCTGAAGAGTGATGTCTATGAAGAAGGAGCCCAAACCTTTCCCTTGGATCTTGCCCAGGATGATGGTCAGAGTCTTCATACTCTCGTGGATGACTTCAGAACTCATAGGGTCATACAATCCATGCACCAACAGGTCTAGGACAATTTTCTTATACTTTCTCACCTGTCATCAAGGTTTAAAAACCATTAGAAGCACAGGAATTGCTCTCTGTGAGTTGAAAAGCAACTCCGCTTCTAATTGTCCAGTAACTTAGCACTTGAACTAAGAGATGACAATTTTCTTCAGGATCTGCCACAACTCCCACCAAAACACAAATGCTTCCATTAACCTGACCCAAGAGCCCAAGTAGGCCTTAGAAGGAGAGCAGAGAACGATTTGGAGGGTGGCCCATGAGCAGACAAGGCTGGGCAGGGTGTGTCAAGAAGGGTAGTGAACTGGATACCGTAGGTTCCTGAGGCATACTGAGAACAAGGTGAAATGGTCACTGACGTTGACAGATGCTACAGGAGGAGGTGGGTAAAACATTTTTTACTAAACAAGCATAAATTATTAGAAAATAAATTGAATTCGACAAAGAGGTGATGTCCAGCTGTGTGCTAATCCTGCCTGCAACTCTGTTCCCCAAGGCTGATGATTCTGAGGTGTGATGACCCTAAAATGACCCCCAAATGAGTCCTTGTACAATCTCTTCCCTGAGTGTGGGAGGAACTGGGGACTTGCTTCTAGCCTATTGAATATGACAATACTCATGGGGTGTCATTCCCATGGTTACTTACATTATATAAGACTTCTTAGCCGAGATCTTGCTGACCCTGAACAAGTAACCTACCATGTTGTGAGTGGGTGCTTCTAGGAGCTAAGGGTGGCCCCCAGCTGACAGCCAGCAAGGAAACAGGGACTTTGGTCCTACAACTAGAAGGAGCTGAATTCTTCCAACAGCCATATATAAGCTAGGAAGAGGACCCTGAGCTTCATAAAGGAATATGATCTGGCCCAAACCTCGATTGCAGGCTTGTGAGGCCCTGGACAGAGGACACCCAGCTAAGTTGTACCTGGACTCCTGATCCAAGGAAACTGCAAGCTAATAAAAGCTAGGTCTGTGGTGATCTGTTGCACAACAATACTAACCAGTACATGAGGGAGCATATCCCAGTCCTGGGGACTCCAGGCCACCTTCCCTTCCTACCTTGTCAGGGTTCTCACAGGCCACGGTTCCCAGGCCTCTCATTGCCATGTGACGCTTTTTAGCACTGGGGTCACGGGCTTTTTCCGCCAAGATGAAAAACACGTTCTTCAGAGACTCCCGCTTCTGGAACCTCAGTTTCCAAGAGACCTGAGTGGTGAGTTAAAAATGTATTGATTTTGGAGTGTTCAGAGTCATACCCAACCCTAACCCTAGTTCCTCCCTCTAGAGAAAATCCTGTGTTGCCAGCTCAAATTTACACTTCATTTCTCCATCTAAAGACATCTGACTTTTTGCTGGAAATACAGGGTGGGGGCAAAAATAGGTTTACAGTTGTTCATATGGGAAATAATACAATAATTAATAAATAATAATACAAGAACAAACTCTGTTTTGCATACTCACAACTGTAAACTTACTTTTGCCCCACCCTCTGTCTTGATGTAGTTTGATGTACATAGTGAATTTGTGGACAAGGAGAAAAGGAGAGAAAAATAATGCAGACCCGGTGTTGATGGAGGTTTGGGGAATCATGGATAGAGGTGCTCTAGGCCAGTTGAGGGTTTCATAGAACTGAGAAGAAAGGCGCATTTAGAAGAGTTAGTGGAAGCCAAGAATAGGGAGCCCTTTCCCAGGACAGGGTTCTCTATATTCCTCTCATCTCGAAAAAAGGAGCTCCCTGGACCCTTCCTCCTCCTCCAGTTTTTCTGCTCTACTTTGTAAGTAAACACCTTGAAAGACATGTCTAGACCTGCTTCCTCCCATTCCTTCCCATTCTCTCTTGAACCTTCTGCAATCAGGTTGACGGTCTCCCCCACCCCTGTCCCCAGTGAGGCTAAATCCAAGGGTCAGTTCTCCGTACTCATGTTACTCAACCTCTTAACAGCATTTGATGCAATGGCAAAGAACATCTACAAACATTTCAGGGCACCTGAAGAATGTCCCACCCCAGAATGCATGCATTTGAGCAATTAAGGTTAGGAAAAGAAATGCAGGGGGGGGAAACACAAAGTTGGGCAATGCTGTGCGGCCCATGCAGAAACCTGTACTTCAAGGACTAAACTCTAAGTAACTGCGGGGCAAGAAATGGGTTATATCTGCGATGAGCTTATGAGCCCTGATAGCAGGAAGGCCCTGGGGCTCTGCACAACACAGAACATGGCAACGTGAACTGGAGTCAGAACCCAGGTGCAGACCCAAGGTGCAGACAAGATCCAAGAATGGGGTGGGCTGGGGAGCTGGAGACTGGGTGACAGCCCTATTTGGTATCTGGGTGATTACTGAGTCTCGTCATTATCTCTGAATATTCATTGCCGTTTAGTCTATATTTTTATTATTAATTTCACAGCAAGCTAAATTTGTTTCAACTCATCTTCCTGTTTTCTATAAACATTCTGTCTGTGTTTAAAGAAGTATCATCAGGCATTTTTCAGAAGAAGGAACCTCAGTGGAGCCAGCTGAGCTAATGCAGACCAGGCAAGCACACAGGTTACACAGCAGCTGCTGGGAAGGGCCATTTGTTCGTAATATTTTGTGTCAGACCTTGGAAAAGAAAGACATCACTGAAGTCCTTTTCTTCTTGGGCTGGGTGGTGGGAACGGAAAGGGGCTGGCCCAGGATTCTTCTCTGTGTTTGGTCCATGGAAAAAAAAAAAAAAAAAAAAAAATCATCTTATGAGTCACTAACAGTCTTGGAAGTCTCATCATCAACAAGCATTGTAGTACAAAGCTGTGTCAGGGTAGGAATACAAAGAAGCAACAGCCCTGAGGCCTGTCCTTAGGAACCTGTTACCTTGGCAAGGAGATTAAACTGTCACATAAAAAGATAAAGAGCAATTCGAGGCAGCCCAAGAGGAATCACAGTACAGGGTTCAAGATGGTCTGTCCCTGATTCCTGGCCCATCCCACAGTTTTCTTGTATCAGAATCACCAAAGAAATAAAATATAGATTCTGGGCCCCACCCACAGAGAACTGAAGGGAAAAGCAGCCTGAAAAATTCTTTAAGGCTCCCCAAGAATGTAAATTGGTTCTGCTTTTTAGAGGAGATTTTTATATCTCTTACAATTTTTAAAATGCACATATCTTTCAGCAAATCCTTCATACATTGATACATCATGTGATCATATGTGATATTCACAAAGGATAGACACCACAGCTTTGCGATGAACAACATAATGTCCTTTAACAGTTGTACTATGAGGAAATTGTACACATATACTTCGACTATACAACTAAAGGGTGGCTACTATGCAGCCATTAAAAAAATACTGTGCAGTCTATGCATGCTAAAATGATCTCCAAAATATACTGTTGAGCGAAAAGTGCAAATCAGTGTGTAAGTGTGCTACGATGTAAGCACAAAATGAGGGAGGGAAACCAATATATGCATGTGTGCTTGCTCATGCACAGAACAGGGAAGACTAGCTAAGAAACTTGAACAAAACTTGCCTCTGGGGTAGAAATCAGAGCAACTGAGATGGGAGGGAGACTTAATTTTTTCACTACTTTAAAAAATATATATATGGATATATATTTTACCACATGGATATATTATTTACCACATGGATATATTATTTAAAATATATATTATAAATAAATACAGCTCACAAAGTGATTCTGATCTACAGCCTACTTTGAGGCTCATTAACATAAACCTGTGCTTCTCAGACTTGAATGTGCACTCGAATCACCATAGGATCTTGTTAAAATGCAGATTTGGACTCAGTGGGTCTGGGGTGAGGGCACCAGATTCTGCCTTTTGGATAAGCTTCCAGGGGACACCAATGCTGCTGGCCCCAGGGCCAGGCTTTGAGTGTGAGGGTGTACAGATACTGTATTAGCTAAGAATCAAGAGAGGACTGTGGCTTGAATGGCTGGTAGAGACCTCCACAGCATGTAGGCAAGCTTTCAAGGACAGGCAGAGTGTATTTGACACATTGGGATTTCGATTCCATGAACAAGCAGTCAGTATCATGGTAGTGACTAAAAAGCAGAGTGGTAAAAGATAAGGCTACAGGAAGTAGGACCAGCTGTGAAGGACTTTGACCACTAAAGAGTTTAGTTTCAATTTATTTTGTCGATAAGAGTAAACCATTAATTTTTTTATTGAGATGAAATCCAGATAACATGCAATCAACTATTTTAACAGTGTTATACAATCACCATCTCCATTTAATCCTAAACTTTTTCATCACCCCACAAGGAAACCCCATACCCATTAAGAAGTCTGTCCATTCTGCCCTCTCCCCATAGCCTGGCAACCATTAATCTGCTTTCTAGCTCCATGAATTTACCTATTCTGGATATTTTATATACACAGAATCATTAAATATTGTGATCTTTTGTGTCTGGCTTCTTTTCTTCACATAATGTTTTTGAGGTTCATCCATGTTGGAGCATGTATTGGTACTTCATTCCTTTTCATGTCTGGGTAATATTCCATTACATAGATATACCACATTTTGTTTATCCATTCATCTGCTGACAGACACTTGGGTTGGTTTTTGTGAGCAGTGTTGCTATGAACATTGGTATTTGAGTATCTACTTTCAATTCTTTTGGGTATATACCTCAGAGTGGAATTGCTGAGTAAAATGGTAACTCTATGCTTATCTTTTTGAGGAACCACCAAACTATTTTCCACAGTGGCTGCACCATTTTACATTTCCACCAGTAATGAGCAAAGATTCCAATTTCTCCACATCACCATCAACTGTTATTTTCCTGCTTTTTAAATTATTATTATATCCATCCTAGTGGACATGAAATTGTATGTCATTGTGAGTTTGATTGGCACTTCCCTAATGACTAATGACATCTTTTTGTGTGCTTGTTGGTGACTTGTATATCTTTTTCAAAGAAATGTCTATTCAAATCCTTTGCCCATTTTTTTAGTGGGTTGTTTATCTTTTTGTTTTTGAATCGTAGAGTTCTTTATACATTCTGGACAGTAGACCCTTATCAAATATATGATTTACAAATATTTTTCCCTCTGTAAGTTGGCTTTTTTACTTTCTTAATAATGTCATTTGGCCCTAGCTGAGTAGCTCACTTGGTTAGAGTGTGGTCCTGATACACCAAAGTTGAGGGTTTGATCCCCAGTCAAGGCACATACAAGAATCAACCAATGAGTACATAAATAAATAAGTGGAACAATAAATTGATATTTCTCTCTCTCATTCTCCCCTTCTTTCTCTCTCTAAAATCAATAAATTTAAAAAATTTTAATCTTTTGATACACAATAGTCTATTTTGACAAAGTCTAATTTATCTATTTTCAGTTTTGTTGCTCATGCTTTTAGTGTTATATCTAAGAATCCATTGCCAAATTCAAGGTCATAAAGATTTATCTTGCCCAGCTGGGATGGCTCAGCAGTTTAGCATCAACCTATGATCCAGGAGATCACAGTTCGATTCCCGGTCGGGGCACATGCCCGGGTTGCGGGTTCGATCCCCAGTGGGGGGCGTGCAGGAGGGGCAGCCGATCAACGACTCTCTCATCATTGATGTTTCTATCTTTCTCGTTCCCTCTCCCTTCCTCTCTCTGAAATCAATAAAGACATAAAAAAAAAAAAATTATCCCTTGTTTTCTCCTAAGATTTTTATTGTTTTAGTTATATTTAGGTTGTTGACCCATTTTAAGTCAATTTTTGTATATGGTGTGGGGTATGGATCCAACTTCATCAGTACCATTGACTTTTGTTTGTTTTGGTTTAAAAATATTTTTTAGTAGGAGAAATGACAGGCAAGTAGCTGCAGTGGTTCTCAATCCTAGCAGCACTAGAATTCCTGAGGACCTTTTAAACCTCCTAATGTCCTGGCTGAACCCCAGACGAAGTCTATCATCATCTCTGGAGGTGGGCCCAGGAGCAGTAATTTTTAAAGCTCATCATGTAATTCCAATGGGCAGTCACAGAACTAGGATAACTAGTGACCTTGGTTTGCCCGGGCCTGAGGGGTTTCCTGGGACATGGGACTTCCAGTGCTAAGATTGGGAAAGACCTGCACAAACTGGGATAAGCTGGCCACCCTACTGGTTATTCATGAGTCTTGAACTTATTCAAATGCAGGTAGCTGGTAGAACCCAGCCCTGTTAAACAGTTGTGCTTTGGGACATTTTATTCTGATTGACCTAGCAGTGCATGGGGATTTTTTTCTCCATCATCTTTGTCCCCCAGGTGATTTGGTTATACTCTCTTGGTCAGAAGACACTGAAGAGGTTCATGAAAATACCTCCTCTCCCATAGCCCTCAGGCCCCAGTTCTTCTTCATCTCTGGCCAGCAGACCTCCTCTCACCACTACAATGAGGAATCCAAATGAAACCCTAGAGAATTGCACCCCCACCAATTAGTAAGATTTTTGTTGTTGTTTGAGTAAAGGCATTTCCATAAGCCAGGGGTGCTCACATCTGAGTGTGCATCAGCATCACCTGGAGGACTTTCACAGGCCCCCAGACCTGGTCCCCAGAGTTGGGGATTCTGCACATCTGAAGCAGGGCCTGACATTGCATTTCTAACAAGCTCCCAGGTGACACTGGAAGGCTGCTGGTCTGAGGACCACGCAGAACCACTGCATGAAGAGAATGAAATCACAGTATTACGATGTCATTTCTCTCCAGCGTCAAGGGATTTAAAAATTCATACTGAGGCAAAAAACAAAAATAAAACAACAACAAAAAACACCCCATCCTTAGAGTTTTCTTCCTTGGGGTTTTCTGCACACAACCTTCTGTTTCAATAGAACCTGCAACTCCTCAGGGTGAATGCTCTGAATCAGGGCTGATGGGTGCCTGACAGTGGTTATGGGGAGTTTAAGAGAAGCAAAGCTCCCTCAGGCTGAGGGCTGCTCACCAAGGAGGGCACGGGCCTCATCACAAAGCAGCTGGTGTCTCTGTTCTGAGGCATAATAAAGTAATACCTGAGGCTTCTCTCCAATGGGAGGAAAGCAAACCTGGTTCCCTGTCCTTTATACTTGACTTCTCTTGCAGGATCAGCAGAGCAGAGGAGGGCTTCAGCCATACAAGGCAGTTTTCCAAGCTTCAGAAGCCAAGCATCCAGGGAGAAAGAGTCTGCCGGCTCCAGTATGGCAGTGATCCCTACAGACTCTTGCCAGCTGCCCGGTATACCCGGAGACCAGCATGGGGATCACTGCGCTGGAGCTGCACTGGAAGCATGTTCCAAAGACCTGTGAGAACTTTGCTGAGTTGACTCACTGAGGTTACTACAATGGCACCAAATTCCACAGAATCATGGAAGACTTCATGATCCAAGGAGGTAGTGACCTGACAGGGACAGGTCAAGGTGCAACTATGTAAAGCAAGCAATTTGAAGATGAAGTCCATCCAGACTTGAAATTCACAGGGGCTGGAATTTTTGCAATGGACAATGCAGGGCAAAACACCACCAACAGCAAGTTCTCTGTGACCCTACCTCCCACCCAGTGGTTTGATGGCCAACACACCATTTTTGGCCATGTGTGCCAGGGTTTAGAAATGGTGAATCAAACCATTAGGTATGGTGGAAATACTCCCAGGACTGCCCTATGGACAATGTGAAGATCATCAAAGCATACCCTTCTGGGTAGTCCTGCTACTCTCTTGGGCATACCAGATCTTTTAGACGACCCAGCGAACAGGCTTCCA